TTAGCATTGTAACGCTTAATTTTCAATAACCTAATAAATGATAATTATTTTTTTGTAGTATAAGTATTACATGATACCTGGATTGGTTGTGCAAGCACTTGCTGAAAAAAAAAGAAACAAGTAAGTTTTAGTTTTTTTAAAAGGTTATGTTAATTTGGATGGTAATGTGCTAAATTCATGATATTTTGTTTTTGTCCTGTTGTTTCTGTCCCAGGGTTTGGCATGAATTTTACCTGAGTGGCACCTTGTGCAGATATATTAGTGAAATATGTTAGAATGAAGAACAGGTAGATGACCACTTTTGTAACAAACATGAATATCTGGGGAGCAAAGATTGAAATTAGTTTGACAAGTAAAATGCAGTCTAGCCTTCTATTCATTAATAACAAAAGGGGGAAGCCGCTGATAGACGCATTACTCTCATGATTTCACACCAATTTGTCAAATTGGTGTGAAATCATGAGAGTAATGGGTCTATCAGCGGCTTCCCCCTGGGGGCGACACCCGGGGACCCAGGGGGATTTGTCAAAATGCTCTGTAAAACCTAATGAAATTCCCGTGGGTGAGGGCCAGATAGGAATGACAAATGTCTCCTGGGATGGGAAGGGGAGATTATTGGGAAACTATCAGAAATGAATTTTTCGATTTGCAACACTGTAATTGAATGCTTTTGTTCCTTTTTGTGGTTACTCCGTCTATAAGACGGGTAACCACTTTGTTATCGGTTTGTAAGTCCGTCCGTAACACTATCACGTGATTTGAAGGTCTAAATACAACCCAAACAACTGCTACATCCCCTGCAATTGCAAACTGTCCCCCCTGTAATTCACCATGCCTGCCTTATTATCGCTCTATTAAAATTTTACCAGCAACAAAGACACAGCACATCAAGTATCAATTGTAATGAAAAACCACAGTATATATACAAGGATTCTTGAACTTGTTCTTTGATGTGGGTTTTCGAATCTGAACAGTATCCAATCKTATGATCTCGTGTGAATGAATATGCGCAGTTAGCATCGTTATCACACATGTCTCCACCATGACGTAGCATTGGCATGGCAACTAGCCAACGACGCTGACAAAGAAAAACGCTGGCTCGTGAGACAAGATTTTCCATGTGCTCAACTTTGTCGCTGGTAAGTGAAGTAAACTTTGTTTTTTTATATTCTTTACCTCTTTATCTATCACAGATTTCATCCTACAGTATTAACTGTAATGATCAAAGTTTTTTAAGTGTTTTTCACAATTTAGTCCGATCTTTATTTCCGAATAACAATTTAGTCCGATCTTTATTTCCGAATAACAGGATATAAATTCCACGCTCGATAGCGATTGTAATGAGACGAATGTCAATTTGATCAATGACAATCATAAAGCAAACCAAACGACGCTAGAAAAAATGACTTATTACTGCCAAAAACAAATACAAACTGGATAAACCCGCTTGTGGGTTAAATCAACCTCTTGAGGATATATCAACCAAAACGGGAAGTCTAATTACAAGAACTATTTACATTAAGTTTAATATTCATAATGAAGTTTTAAGTTTAAAAGGCCTTTTAACTTAAATGATACAACAGCTGACTAAGACATCTCCATTTGCAAATAAGAACAAGTATTCACTTAATAGTATTTGTTGGTTCAGAATAAAATAATATCATAAAGAGTAGGTAATATCAACTATCAAAAACCTTTCAATTATATGTAAACTGCAGTACATTAGTGATGGAAGATATTCCACTCTGATGGACATAGCATAAACACTCTATCCTCAATGATCACTAAATTACATTAATGTAATTAACTTTGTGTAAATTAGTAACTGTTTCCTTAACTTCTTTTCTCAGGTATATGTATTAATACTGCCAAGAATAGCTCTGCAGTGAGGGAAATGATCCCTTTGAACAGCTATCAGGAACACACCAAGCACATACAACTATTACATGCAAGATTTTCACAATAGAAAAAAAGGCTCATTCCTATTGTGCAAAAAACAGTTGTACTGTCAAGTTTTAGTCCATGATACTATTGATGCATCCCAGATGTCATTGTCACTTTATTCATTATTCACTTAATTCTTTATGAGTCCTTAATAGAATTATTGAAGACAACTGAGTTTTTGTCAGAAAAATTATTGGACCTTGAACCAAACATCATTAAGAATATAGATTTACAATAAAATGTAAAATTTAATACCAACACCAAAACTGTAACACTGTAACATGCCTTACATCAAAATAGGCCTATTTTTGATATTGACAAAGTCAATAGTGCTTTATCATTTCTGTATGCAAAATTGAAAAAAAAATAGAACGTTTCCGCCACCTTTTCCATTTCCACCTATTTCCAAACTTATACTAAATTTGCTCTTTGTCTATTATAAGGTTTTTCCAATTAGGTGAATGTCTGCCCTGACAGCAACACATTACAAGCAATTCCCAAAATATCAGATCTTCAACTTAAATTACTTAAATATTCTTTCCTACACATAGTAAAACATTAAAATCTAAAAATATTCATAACAAGCAGTTTTTGGAGTAACCACAAGCGCTTTTTAAGCGCCTTTTTTTGTAAATAGCAATAGGTCATTTTTTTTCTCTTAAATGAAGCTGGAAATGTCATCAAGCAAGTCTAAGAAAAAGTCCTCATGTACAGCGTGATACTGCTGACCAGTAGCAAATATCCCCATGGTAGGCCCGTGTAGAAATTCACGATTTCAAAAGCGAAATAATCCCCCACTCCCTTGGGCAAAAATAGGCCTTACAATCCGTAAAAATCCCCCTCACTTCCTCTGGGTTCCCCGGGGGTCACGCATAACATCTAATGCATGTCTAATGTGTTCATAGAAAACACGTGAAAGTGCATCAACACTTGTCCCTTGGTGATCCGTCAATATTTCACTTGTTCTTTACTTACTTTTTCCATGCTAGTAGGGAGATCTATCAAATTCCCCATCTCGTAAAAAGTCAATCTCTATCAAGATTCTCTACCTGGATCACTCAACGCCAGTCTTTCTATTGAACTTCCGGTGTCACTATGTACTCCGCTGACCTTTGGAATTGAAGATTTTTTTGGGCCTCCATCAACGCCCGTGATGTAGCAAGACCCGTCCCTCTTACTTGCAGGATCGCAGGCTCGACCAATCTCGTACCCAGAGCCCGCCGTTTTGCCATCCAGCGGAAGTCAAGGCGTGAGAGACTCTGGGGGAATGCGTTATTTCTCGATTTCTGATTGGTTAAAAATGACGCGAGCGCGCATTGTTTTCAAGCACAGGGAGCCCAAGCAGTGACTTTGAACCTATAATAGTTAAAAATATTCAGTGACACTGAATAAAATAGAAGTAGACCATTTTTTTAAGTAAAATTTTATTTTTAACTATTATACAATCGTTGCCAAAATACCTTGGACCGTACAATTATTTGCCTTCAGCCTTTTTCTCCTTTATTTTTTGACAGTTTTCCCCCGTAGCCTCCTTTCATCAATGTTGAGTCTTGTTTTGGATGCTTGTGTACTATGGTAACATGATGAATGACAACACTGCATTTAGGGGGTCAGGGGGGATGAAATTGTCTGCGGGTGTTGCTTAGAATGAGGAAATTCGCTGGAATGGTCCAAGATTTTTGTCAACGATTGTAGGTTCAAAGTCACTGCTTGGGCTCCCCTGCTCCCTCATTTCGATTCCTCCAGTGTCTCAATCTCGTATCCAGAGCCCACACTTTTGCCATCCAGCGGATGTCAATGCGTGAGAGACTCTGGGGTTGGTTCATAGGCTACCCAACTATTGCTTGAGAGAAAGAAAAGAATGAATGCGCACGCTTTTATATTATGTTATCGAATCGGCGCGCGCTGTGGGTTACCTGTGGTATTACCTGTGGTGTTACGTCACTATCGCGCGCCTCGCGGGATACAAACTAGTTGTCACAGACTAGTTGTTGTTGTTGTCACAGACTAGTTTGTATCCCGCGAGGCGCGCGATAGTGACGTAACACCACAGGTAATACCACAGGTAACCCACAGCGCGCGCCGATTCGATAACATAATATAAAAGCGTGCGCATTCATTCTTTTCTTTCTCTCAAGCAATAGTTGGGTAGCCTATGCCTAAACCCACAGCGCACGCCGATTCGATAACATAATATAAAAGCGTGCGCATTCATTCTTTTCTTTCTCTCAAGCAATAGTTGGGTAGCCTATGGCTACGCAGGCTAAAGTGTGATTGAAACTATTATTTCCCAGAAGCCTTTACGGGAGGACTTCGGTTCATTAGCATATCATTAGCATAAGCAAAAAATCTCGAAAAAGTCAATATACAGAGCTTTTCTTACAGGCTCATCCCGTTTTGATGGGTAATGTGGAAGGAAGGTAGGATGGGAAAGTTAGTCGTAAGTTCTTGCCGACTAACATAGCATGTGTTGTAGCATTCAATCCGAGATAAAATGGAACTAAATTGGGTTGGTAGGGAAAGTGATTTAAAATGTAATTTGAATGTCATTATCCGTCAACCGAGCGATGACCCGCCAGTGCACAATGGCATGACGTCAATTCGCATTGATATCCAACTTTGAGGTGGAGAAACAATAATCACGTACCATACCCCGAGCCTTCGCTTTTCTTGGCCAGTGCCAGTGACCATGTAATATACTCAATATCAAGATCAATGTGCCAATTTTACGTTGCGATGAGTCGATAAAACATTCTTTATTCATCTGGTTTTTCGTCACAACTTCAAAACAGATGGCCGGGGACATGCGGAAAGCGTTTCGCAGGCCGTACAGTATCGGCAGGTGTATCGGAGTAGTGCGTGTCAATACGGTACAACTGTTATTTATCAGTGTCAATTTCTTTTGATCATTGTTATATAGAAATATGAATTTACTAACACTGGCAGGGCCAGATCAAATACTTGATGACGACATCAAAAAAATGTTTTGAATAGTTGAAACGTATTTTGCTCATGAGAATAATTATACCAGCCGTTTTTTCCACTGCCTTTCCCTGCCCCACGTCTCTCGTTCACGAAAACGCACATTATACAGAAATTGTTACAACTTTTTTAAAATAGCCGACTTTAGATTTTGGTTCAGTGACCATGCACAAACGAATTGCAGGCGAGGTTCCGGGGAAAGAAAAGAATAAATCAAAATTATCCATTGTTTTCCCGGAGCCTCGTGTGCGTTACTTTTGTACATAGTTATCGAACCAAAATATCTAATGTTGACTATTTAACAATTAGATCTTGAGGGCGAGTAGACTACGAGCTGATAGCCCATGAGACCGAAGGCTCAATGGGCTATCAGCTTGTAGTCCACGAGGCCGAGAGATCTAATTGTTTTAGTATTACCATACTAGTTGGACAAAAAATGAATTAAACATATAAATAACTAAATGTTTTAATTGCTAAAAATAGGCAAAACGTTTTCGCTAGTCGATGACTATTGAAAATAGACACCGAGTAGCGTAGCCAATCAGAACGAAGGATTTGYAATAGTCCACTAGTATGGTAATACTAATTGCTTTTATCTTTTGTATATCATAGATGATGCATGAATTGCAATTAAAAAAACTAAACGACATCGGTATCAGCACCTACAAAACTTATAGATGAAGTAACTTAAAGTAGTTGGTGTAGCTGTCCAAAAACAATATATCCCAGAAAATATTGACAATGAAAACCATGTTGATATTTTGAAAATTGTCATGCACGCTGGTATCATTGCTGGAATCATAGATTGATAACTCTTTATGTATTATCTCTTGAGAAGCAACACAGTGACTTGCTAGGCTTGTGTTCCTGAGCTTCTCTTGCGCTCTGCATCTCCGACTGCATGAGTTAGGGACAGAGACGCAAGGGGGCGTTTAATATTTATTTTATTGGACACGACATCAGCCAGTGAAAGCGCGCGTTATATATCAATATTTATGCAAACCCTTTTTGTAATGTCCTTTTATTTTTTGTTCATAGATGCATTGTACAGTATTTGCGAGGGAAAAAAATCAGACAGGGCTAGACCAATTCTAGTCGGTGTGCTTCCATTGCAGAAGAATAGTAGAATGCGGGAAACAGCAGTCTTTAATCTTTAAATAAATTAATTGCCACTAGTGAGCTAATCCGGCAATGGGGCGGCCAGCGGTGGCTGGCCCAGAGAACAATGACAGGCAATGGTAACATAATAAAACGGGTAGATAATTAATATAACAAACAAATAAATATGGTAAACGACTGCAAGACGTCACGACGACATGTAAAACGGAGGACAACATGACCCATTACCGGATTAGTTCACTAGGTAAGGCCGCTACAAAGTTATTTGCTGACGGAATTTGAGGAAAGACTAACTGCGGTAGAGAGTTCCATACAGGAATTGTACGAGGGTAGAAGGAGAATTGGAAAGCATTAATTTTGGCTGGGAGCAGGGAGAACTGGTAATTATTAAGGACGCTGGCTCTAGTACTGTATGATATAGACTTAGGTAGGACGTCAGATGGAAAAGAGATTTTGACGAGTCCGAAGTTGACCTTGTAAAAAAAGGAAAGGTCTTGCACAGTTCTACGATGTTTAAGAGACTGCCAACCTAGGTTACTTAGCATATCTGTTACACTACTTGATCTTTGGTAGTCCCCCGTCACAAAGCGGGCTGCTCTACGTTGGGTAGATTCAACAGCATTGATATCTTTCTTAGTGTGCGGGGACCAAGACACCGATCCGTACTCGAGGATTGGCCGAACGAGTGACGTGTAGGCTCGTTCTTTGATCGGGGCGGGACACGATGAAAGGTTCCTCTGTAGGATACACAACACTCTGTTAGCTTTCTTTTTAACTTCCTCTGCTTGTTTGTCCCAACGTAGGCTCGATGTTATGTAGACGCCTAGGTACTTCTGAAAGGTGACACTTTCAAGGATAGAGCCACACAGGGAATACACTCCCGGTGATGGATAACGCTTCAGAGTTATTGACAACAGATAACACTGAGTATAACACTGAGAACCGGCGGGAAACCTTGACTCCGTGAAATCCTGAATTTCTATAGGCATCGATCTTGAGCATTGATATAACCCTTTATTTATATCAGCGCCGTACGATTCACTGCAACACATAATATAATGGAACGCTATATTTTGCATTTCGATTATACGCTCTAAGAGCGTTTAGTTTGTAAAAGTGATTTTCATCGGTTTTCATTAATAGTCATATGAAATGTTATATATCGAAAAGAAAAATAAAAGCGTGAAAAATAAACGGTAAATGAGCACTGTTTGATAGAGTGTATCTCATGGGTGTAGTATGTTTGATTTCAATCAGTTTGCCGACGCATCTCACTAACACTAATGCATGAGTCAACGGTAACCCCGACCCCCCCACCCCGGGACAAGGTGGGGATTAGAGGGGGATAGTGGGGGAATAGAACAATTATTATCCCCAACATGGTGTGGGATTGGAGCTTTTTAGAATGAACCTTCCCCGTGGGGATAGGGCATAGGTGGGGATTCGACAAGRCCCTGCAATTTCTAGGACAGCGGTTGTCTTCAACAAGATGCTCCATGCTTGAATGCTAGAAGGTGAGTGTTTTTGTTATTCAAATCAA